ACTGATTCGTAACCACTATGCTACCAGAGCTCCTACTGAATCAGAATGGTTATATATATTCAGCTGAATTTGAAATCCACCAGAATTTGAAAACCACTTATGAAATAGATTTTAATGTAGTATTTCACCACCGAGGGATTTAACTCTTTAAAGAAAACAATACACTGAGCAATATATTGAGCTAACAGTGTGATTTAATAAATACTGGGCTATCTGATTCCCTCTAGTTATGCAGCACAGTAGAGGAAACACTGTTCTAATGATGCATTCTTTCAAATGACATTTACTTAGAGCCCCTCTAAGGGTATAATTTCTATTTGAAATACTTGTTCTTAAAAATTCCCATGAAATCTCTCTCTAGTGAGTAAATCAAAGTTCAGATGGTAGACTCTCGCCCAAAGTACACACAATCAATAACAGAGACATGACTCAAAAAATCAAGATAACATCGATTCCAGTCTGCTTTCCACCACACCAAAATGCCGCCTGCCTGGCAAAACTCACCATCTGTGACCTGTCATGTACAAAAATAATTACACCAAGATAAAATGAGGTGAGTGCCTGAAGGGAAATAGGACAATGAGATCTAAGAAAGGAAAGAAGTTACATTTGATTTTCACTACTTAAAAATCTTCTGATTAGATGGCTCAAAAATTCTAGTTAACTCCAGAACATCAGGGTTAAATATATCCACAAAGGTACTAACACAAAGCAAACGTTTTTGAATCCTACACAAAGTCTTAAGACTCACAATAATTTTTCAATTCCCACCCTAAAAAAAAAAAAAGTTCTAAGACTTGTTCTGATGCAATGTACAATCTTTTCACAGACTTCAGCTAGTTTTAAAGACAAAAAAGTCAGTGGCTTTTTTAGTTTCAAAACATCTTGCATAAATCCTGATCTGCCTGCCTAAAGTCATAAAACTAAGTCACTAATGACTTTTGTCCTCAGCAGAGGAGAAAAGGCTTGGGATAAACAGAACACATGCTAAAACAGTCATAACTAATTAACATTTTCATTGCTCTGATCCAGGTCTCTGTCCTCTTAGAGTTTATATTCTAGTGTGGTAAAAAATAGACATTAAACAAGTAACTATGTATCAACTAGTAGTGAGTGGGTAGGAGGAGTAAGAAGTGTTGTAGGAACTACAGAAGTTGGCTGCCTTTTTATATAAGTTACAAGGAAAAATCTTGCATGCAACAGAAACCTGAAATAAACAGAGCAAGCCACACAGATATGAGTGGAGGAGTCTTCCAGAAATGGGGTAGAGTAAATGTAAAGGTCCAGAAGCACTAACATGCTTGTGTGGGAAGAACAGTAAGGAGGTTAGTGAGGATTGAGACACATGTGAGAGCAGGCTGAGAGCAAAGAGTGATATCATCTGACATATGTTTGTAAAGGATCACTCAGAATAAAGTGAGAGAATGGAGAGTAAAGAATGAAAGCGGTGAGGCTCATTACAATACTGCAATAATCTAGGAGACAGAATGGCTTTCACCAAGGGAGAGATGCTGATGATAATAAATGGCTGAGTTCTCATTATGCTTTGAAGGTAGACCCCATAGGATATGCTAATAGAATGGATGTGAAAAGAAAGAGAGGAGACAAGGTTTAGGAAGAGCAAAGCAATTCTATTTACCTAGAATATACCAGTGTCTCTGTACAGAGTAGGCACTTAAATATTTATCTGAGAACTTAACCTAGCTAAATAAACTCCCAAAATGAAACAAGTAAACACAATTACTGGTTTCCATTTGCTTTAAAGTTCCATTAGTAATGTGTGCTAATTACACAGTTCATTACAGTGCTTTTTAAAGCTAAATTCATTTAAACTGAAACACAGCAACTAATCCTTACACCTTAATGTTTTTATTTTAAATTCACAATTCTCCTAGTGATAATAAAAATCTACCATGAAGGTTCTGTGACAATGAGGATTTTTACATACAAAATGATTAACCTGTTCATGAATGTCATACTCCTGGAAGATATAGTAGGGCAAAGAGAACAACGAACTCCCTAGGCCAGAATTAATTGAAAATTGTAATACTGCACAATTAATGCGCAAAATGGGGCAAGACAAAACAACTCCCTTTTAAAAATCAGCCATAAGCCATTAGCATGTTTAAATATTCTTTTCAGTTCAAACGATATAACCCTTCAAAACAATTTTAATTAAAAAATTGAAATCTACTTGCAAATCAAGCGCAAGTACCCCCACGGAGGCACTTTTTACAATCGTGAAGCAGCATCACTTAGGGAAGAATTTGGTGTCACCGACTTAGCACGTCTTACAGTTATTCTCAATTTTCTAAATCAGACCAACAAAGTAAGCAGAAATTCTCAAAGGAATTCTCCTAAAGAAAAAGTTAGCATCCTTTCTCTTTCCAGTAACCTGGAAATTTTTAACTGAAGCTGGAGAATCATCTCTCTCAACCTTGATTTCCTGATGCCCCACCCTAACCTGGTGTGATTTTTTTTTTTTTAAAGCACAACTTTCAGTGATAATATAGCTTAAAAACAGAGACCTTTGAAAGAAGCGATCGTACTGAATTCAGCAACAGGCAGTACTTTCCTTTTTCAAATCAGTAAAAGGCCAACCCCAAACAAATCCGGTTTGAAATGCCCCTTATCACCCCCGCTTCGCCTCTAAGCTGGCCTGAAAACACAACAGTCGCTGACGACGAAGCTGAAAAGAACCAGTGGTAAGCAAAATCATGATTGCAGGAAGGTAAAATGCCAGGGTTTCAACCACCCCTAAAAGTGAGTGAAAGCCCGGACGCCCCACAAACACATTCCAAACAGAGACGCACACATCCTTCCCTGGCTCCAAAGGCTCCGCACGCGGATTCCAGGCGCCTCGGAGGGAGGATTCTTCCCCAGGAAGAGGCGCGAGAAACGCCTCAGGGGAAGGGAGTGCCCAAAGGGTGCCCCAGCGACCGAGGAACGGAGCGCAAAGAAGCCGGCACTCGGAGATGAATGCGGCAGCCCGTTAAAGAGCAACCCGCACGGCGCTCAGAACAAAACACGGCGGGCAGGGAGCCCCAGTGGGGGTATACCAATTAAGTAGAACGGTTGGGGAGGCTACAGGTTAAGGACCCCTAAAGTGGGGCCTAGGAACCTACTATTTTCGGTATGCGAGTCGGGGTGGTGGGAGGACGAAGACTGTTTTGATTTCTCATTTCATCACTGAAATAGGGAAAGCCCTACAGAGAGAGGAGAGTGGGGGTAAACGGCAGGGGAGGGGAGCATAGGACAGCCCGGGGGAGCAATGTCCCCCGGGGTGGCCGGGCGATGGGGTGCGCGCACGGGGAGAAGTCGGGCGCGAACCTCCCGCTGACTGGAAACGCGGCGCTTCCCCGCCAGCGCCCAGGGAAGGAGCCACCCTCCTCCCCGCCCCCACACTCACCATGTAGAGGGTGAAGGGCAGGCCGAGCAGAAAGAGCCACAGGTAGAGGTGCAGCGCGTTCACGAAGGTGGCCTGGTGCGGGTCATAGTACCAGCCCCCGCTGAGCGCGGCCCAGACCCCCTGCCGGAGGATTTGCAACGTCTGCGACCCCATCCCCACTCGGCGCCGCCGCCGCCGCCGTCGCCGCCGTCCCCGCCCCGGCCCCAGCTCGGCCTCGGTCGCCGGAGCCTGCAGCTGCCCGGTCTATCCCCCTTCGGAGCTCAGGGAGAGCGGGCCGGCGCTTCGGCGGTCGCTAGTGTTGCTGCAGGAGGGGGAGGCAGCGGACGAGGAGGAGGAGACCGAGCAGGAGGCGGCGGCGAGCAGCGGGGAGGAGGAGAGCGAAGAAGAGGAGGAGACCAGCCTCCAGGGTGCCGCCGCCATCTTGTCTCAACACCCGGAGCCAGAGCCAGGCCCCCGCCGGCCGTGGCCCGCCAGCGCCCCAGCCGCTGCCACCGCTGTCGCCTGGACCCCCGCCGACCGCCAGCCCTGGGCCTGGCCGCTGAGGAGGCCGGCCGCCCGGGAGAGACGAGGAGGAAGCCGCGCCTCCTCCAGCTCCTCCTCTCCTCTCCCTCCGCCCCCTCTACCGGCTCCACGGGTGCGTCCTGAGCCTCGGCTGCCGCGGGCGACTCCTGCCGGAGCCCGGGAGAAGCGCGCTGACGCGTGCTGGGTCCCTGACTGAGGAGGTTCGGGTCAACGGATGTAGTGACTCTAGAAATATTGCCCTACCTCAGGCCCCATTCCGCTGCTGGTAAACAAATCTGACACGTTCAGGTAGTTGTTAAGTGTCGTCGTGTCGGTCCGACTCAGAGATCCATCCAATATAGGGTCTCATGCACCAATCCCTAAAATGGGTCTTTCTAACTCAGAAATTGGAGTTCTGATGTAGCTCTGTGGGTTAATGTGCTGGAATGCAAAGCCGATTTGAACTGCAAGATAGGATGTTCAAGCTCACCAGCCGCTCCTCGGAAACTTGAGACCTATGAAATAATCAGAGGACCCACGGAGCATAGTGGTTGTGTTGAGCTGCTAACCGCAAGCTCAGCAGTTCGAATGTACCATCTGCTTTGGGGGTGAAAGATGAGGCTTTCGACTCCCATAAAGATTTACAGCCTCGGAAACCCTGTGCATGGCCGATATGCGCAACCACCACCACCACCAATAAATAATCGAGTCTCATCAAGTCTAACCGCTATTCATTGAATCCACTGAGTCAGTTCGACTCATAGCAACCCTGTTCATGATTTCTGAGGTTGTAAATCATTCTCTGGCAGGGAACTCTGTTAGCAATCCATCACCAACCACTACAATACCAGAGCTCCTATGGTTGATGACACTGTCAAAAAATCACAAACACACCCAATATGCGCAAGAAATTTGTTGGCCCTTGGAGTGAGCCCTTTGGTGAGAAAACAAACCACATCCAGAAAGAGGTGGACTACTTTCAAGGAGAGGGCAGTGCCTCTAGAGGATAAACCAAGTTGGTCATTCAAGTCACCAGTTGCTCTGTAGGTAGCCTTTGAAACCCTATACAGGGTTGCTTGCTATGAGTTGGAACCAACTCAGTGGCACTTAACAATAACTACTACTTCCAAAGATAAAGTACGAACGCTATGGTTCTGTGGATAAGCACTGGACTACCAACCTTGCTGGTTGGAGCCCACAGGCCCTTCTTCAGAGAAAGCTGAGGCTTTCTGTTCTGCTAAAGATTTACAGCCTTTCAAACCCTATACAGGGTCACTATGAGTCAGCACTTAACCATAACATACCAAATATAAAATAATAGAATTTGCAAGAGATATAAAAGTATGAGGTGGACAGATTCATCATTTGTAGTGGTTTTGTTTAGTATTTTTCATATCCTAAGTCATCTTTATCAATGGGCCAATCTGCACAGGCCCCTAACTGAAAAACTAACTGGGACAGCAATCCAAATCACCACAGGGCCTGTACTTCTAGTTTTAAAGCTGTAAAAACTGGGAATCGTGTTCGGTACTGTGTGATGTTTATAAGGAGACCTGGTGTGGTGCTGTAGGATAAGCACTGGACTTTGAACCACAGGTCAGCAGTTCAAACTCACCAGCTGTTCCTCAGAAACCCAATACAGGTTCACTATGAGTAGGAATTAACTTGATGGCACTTAACAACAATGTATAGAAGGCATGTCTGATCTCGGTTGAATGAATTTTTTTAAAAACAGCTTGAAGTTTGAGTTTGTTAAAGTTGTTATAATTAATGAAGAAAGCAAGACAGTCAAACTAGTGACATTTTAAGAAGCTAAAAGCAATGAAAAACGTTCCAGGGTTATACTACTTAATAATTTTCCCAATGTTTTCACACCCATATTATTTGATATTCACAATTCTCCAGTGAGGGTGGCAGTTCAAGGTTATATTATTTTATAGATGAAGAAAACAAAGCCAAAAAAACAAGTGATTGCCCAAGTTCTTCTAAGTGGTTGAGAAGCATTCCAAAATCAAAACTCATCGTAAATGCATGTATTGAACTTGACAAGTTTATGTCTGAACTTTCTTCACCTTTCCCATTCAGCTAGCTGCTCAGTAGCATCTGAGTTATCTGTGGATAGTTTAAAAGTCTGACCACCTTAACAAGTAGTAGTCCTTCACCCAAGAATTTGTTCGAATTTCAAATTCTCTGTCACCACTCCAAAGAATCTCTGAGGGCAATACCCAACAATCTGTTTTAACAAGTCTTCCAGAGGATTCAAATGCAGCTTCAAGTTGAAAACTACCTTTGTAAACAAACACCTTACTCTGTTTGTTTCCCTGTAGCAGCAAAGTCCTAGACTGCCAGAGAGCTACCTTGAAATTGAGAGATGTGAACTAACACTGGGTAAAACATACTTTTAACTGCATTCCTGTTACATGCCTTTGAGTTGGTTCCAACTCAGACTGCCCTTATATAAAGTTTCTGAGGTGGGTTTGAAACACCGACCTTGGGGTTAGCAGTTCAGTACTTATCTTGTTAGTATGTCTTAAAGCAAAATTATGATTAAATAATGTAATTTTACTATCAAAATAGTGGCTCTGAGGCTTGGTCCCAGAGACTAGGTTATATCAAATTTTCATTCTCTAAAGGAGACAGGTACAGATTCCTCATGAACATGATTAAGTGTTCCGGAATATTCATACTTCTCAATGTTCTCCTTAGCTTGTCATGATCCACACAATCGAAAGCCTTTGCGTAGTCAATAAAGCACAGGTAAGCATCTTTCTGATATTCTCTGCTTTCAGCCAAGATCCATCGGACATCAGCAAGGATATCCCTCGTTCCATGGCCTCTTCTAAATCTGGCTTGAACCTCTGGAACTTCTCTGTCAATGTATGCTTGCAGCCATTTCTGTATTACCTTTAGTAAAACTTTACTCTCGTGGAATATCAAAGAGATTGTTCAATGGTTTCTGCATTCCATTGGGTCACCTCTCTTTGCAATGGGCACAAATACGGATCTCTTCCAATCAGTCGGCCAGATAGTTGTCTTCCAAATTTCTTGGCAAAAATGAGTGAGTGCCTCCAGTGCCGCCTCACTTTCTTGAAAGATTTCAATTTTTATTCCATCAATTCCTGGTGCCTTGTTCTTTGCCAATTCCTTCAATGCACTTTGGACTTCCTCCT